CATCTCAGACACCTCCGCGATGTCCTTGACCGCTTGCGCAGACATGACTTTTACGCCAAGCTCAGCAAGTGCCGCTTTGCCCAACATAAAGTGGAGTTCTTAGGACACTACATGTCTAACCAGGGTCTCCACTTAGACGACACAAAGATCACTGCTATTGAAGAGTGGCCCATCCCCACATCCTCCAAGCAGCTTCACAGTTTCCTAGGCCTCACTAGTTACAATAGTAATTTCATTCAGGGATATACTAGGTATTCCTACATCCTTACCTCTACCCTCCTTGGGAATAATCATTTATAGGCTTGGACACCCCTCCACAAGGATGCCTTTTGCGCCCTCAAGAAGGCGGTGACGTGTGCACCGGTTCTCCACCTAACAGGTTTTGATTGCCCTCTTATCCTTACCAACGATGCGTCACACTTTGTTGTAGAAGCAGTGCTTTCTCATATTGTTTCCTCCTCTTCTGATTCCTCTCATCCTCGCATCCCTCACCTCCCATCCCCTACCCCTACCACTACTTCCGGCCCGACGCCTACTCATCCAGTTATTGACGAGCCTTCTATTAACTATTCTCCTACCATCGTCGAGGACAGTATTGTCGAGTCTTGCTCAGGTGATTGTTTGATAGCCTTCTACTCCTGTCAGCTCCTGCTCGTCGAGATAAACTACACTGCCGATGAACGCGAGGTTCTCGCAGTAGTTTATGCCACTCCGCACTGGTGTCACTAGCTGCATGGAGCACCACTCATGGTGCGCACGGACAACTCTGTTGTCCAGGTTTTTATAACAAAGTCAAAGCTCACTCCTCAACAGGCTCGCTGGTGGAGCGACCTATTCGAGTTTAGTTTCACCACTGAGCACATCAAGGGTGACACCAATCAGGTCGCAAATGCCGGCGCCCTGAGCATAATTTGGGGCAGATCCAGCTCGCTGCCATCTCGATCACCACCGTCTACTACTCGGTGAGCGACGAGTTTCGCACTCGGTACCACCACTGCCCCGACTATCGCGACATCCATGCGACCCTTCGGAGTGGCAAGACCGTCCCGAACTACTCTCTCGGAGACAACAGTCTTTTGTACTTGCACAGTTCACAGAACACCAGAGAGCCCCACATTTGCATCCCCTCCACTGGATAGCTACGTGTCCGGGCAGTCATAGAGTTTCATGACTAGACAGTCGTCGGTCATATGGGCTTTCACTAGACGTTGGCTCGTGTGAGCCACCTGTACGTCTGGCCGAAGCGCAAGGATTTTGTGAAGGACTACGTTGCAGAGTGTCCCACCTGATAGGAGGTGAACAGTGCGAGCCACCTGCCATATGGTTTGTTATAGCCTCTTCCTATTCCTGAGGGTCGTTGACAGTCCATCTCGATGGACTTTATCAGTCCTCTTCGTCCTCCTACCTCCCACGGTCATGAGGCTATCCTAGTCGTTGTCGACCGCTTCACGAAGCGCGAACGCTTTGTTCCGTGCCGCTATGCTGTCAGCGCACGTGAGGTCATCAACATCGTGTTTGACTGAGTCGTGCGAAACCACGGCTTACCTTTGAGCATCATATCTGACCGTGACCCACGCTTTACCAGCCGATTCTGGCGACGGCCCCACGAGGTGTACCGCACCCAGCTCCGCTTCTCCTCGTCTTACCATCCCTAGACCGATGGTCAGACCAAGATCACAAACAGGACTCTCGAAGATATTCTCCTAAAGATTCGTCACGACTAGGAGTGAGATCTTCATCTTGCCCACGTGGAGATACCCTACAACCACGCTGTCTTGCGAGCCACGGGGATGTGTTACTATTGCGACCTCGGTTATCACCCTCGTGTCCCCGCGAACTTCCTTCGAACGTCACAGATGCACCTTGACACGAGTTGTCCCACGCTAGATGATTGGGTTGTACACATGACATCGATTATGAAGACCGCGCATGAGCACATGGCCACTTCGCAGACTCGCATGGTCGCACGTGGGAACTGATCGAGGATGAATCATTCATTCAAAGTCGGTGATGATGTGATTGTTGACACCCGCCACTTACAGCTCGAAGTGGACACACTTCGCAAGTTTTGGCGTCGCTTTGTTGGCTCATGCCGCATTCTCCAGACCGTCGGCAGCTTCCGTGTGAAGCTGCCCGACTACCTACTCCAAACTCGTGTGCACGATGTCTACCACGTCTTGTTACTATGTCCCTACCGTAGACTGTCTAAGCGTTTCGTTGGACGACCATACGAGCTCCCTCCACCCATCATGGTGGACGGCCACGACTTGGAGGAGTTCCTCGTTTCAGACATCATTGGTCGCCGAGTCACCGATGACAACCCTTCTCACGTCGAGTATCTCGTACGTTGGAAGGGTTAACCTGATAAGGAGGCTACTTGGGAGCCCCTCGAGCACTTGCAACACGCTCGCATGTTGTTGTGTGCCTATGACCATGCTCGTCGTGCTGGGTTGACTGCTCCTCCTTAGCCCACTGACCCTCTTCCTTCTCCCTTGGATGA